CGTCGTTGCCAAGCGACGAAAACCCAACCCCGATGGCAAAACATCGGGGGGGGGGGTGCTCATGAGGGGGGCGGGTTAATGAGATTCTACCACCGTTGGAGCCGAACGCTTGGGCCGGAGAATCGGTATCCGTTTCAGGACAGGTCACATGGTTGACGATCGTACCCACTCCCCCCCGCTCGCCTTGCTAACCGAGAATATCCAATGGTGGAAGGTGACCATGAAAATGGCCAAGCGCAAACGAACAGGTAAACGGGCCAGGCTGCATTATGGGACGAAAATAGCACGAGAGTCCTCACGCGGAAAACATTTTCTTCGTTCTTGAGTGTGGACGTTGCGCCGTCTCCAACCAGATGACATGCGTCAGTGGCCACGAACCAACAACGGAAAGAAGAAAGAAGAAGACCCCTGCCCCGCTCGTTCGTTCATTTGTCGCCCTCCCCCAGAGGTTTCAACACTCCTATGCTCTGCTCGCCGGCCCTACCCCGCCACGCCCCCCATCTCTCTCCACCTCACCGTTATTGGCGAGTTGCTTTCCTCTCCTTCGAGCTCCAAGAAATGGCTCATGGCATCGAAGCACTTGAGGAGAAATTTCGCCGGTTCCGAGCACCCCTGCTGCTGTTTGTTGGGGGGGCGTTGGGCGGGGGAAAGCATTAGTCTCAGCGGTAGGAGCGAAGGTCGGTACGAGAGCCAAAAGCGAGCCTATACCAACAAGCGTCTCTCACCCTTCAAGAGTGGAAGCGATACGCGTTCACGAGACGCCACGTGCGGCCGACCCGCACGCCGAATCTACAGCCAACGGTGCGTGCGTTCGTAAACCCGTTGCCCCAGAAGAAACCAGGCCACAACAGAGCAGCGGGAAAGCGACAAACGGCACACAGCAACAAAAGGAGCCACCGCTATGCACAACCCTCCCGCGGCTAGGCCCAAGCGGGACCGCGAAACTAACCGCCAACGGTGGCTGAGACGGGTGTATCGCACGGTCGTTACCTTGGGCTGGGAGCCACGGGAGCCACCTTGTGGTAGCTTTGCCGACGCCTGCAACAAACACACGTTTCACACACACGCACGGGACAAACAAGGGAAGTGTCTGTCGTCAGATTTCTGATCCTCAAAGACTGAGCAAAAACACCACCGAAAGTCCCGCCACGTGCCCCACAGGACGACAATCAATGGCGAAAATGCGAAAAGTGCTGCTGATTCTTGGGGCGGGCGTTTCATCGAGCCTTGTAGGCGTGTTCGACTGGAAATATCGCCTCTGTCGTCCTCGTTGGTATGCATACGTAGGCATATATATGTACGTCGGCGAGGATTACTTGTCAACTGCTAAATACCTACACACACACGGAGTCCTAGATCGGGCCTTCAGAAGCATCTTGTGTTTTCAACCGCACCGAGACTGACGTCTTTTCATTGGTGGGCAGCAGAGCGCGGTCGATGCTCACAACAAAAAACACACCACACACACCCCGCTTGGCAGTCCTGTACCTGTCGGTCCAAGGAAGCCGCGACATCGTTGGCCATGGCCGTGTAGCGGAAGAACTTGGTGAAGTCTTCCCGGAAAGAGTGCATGTGTGCCAGGCACAAGAACGCCCTTAACACCTTCCGCCGCGCGGGGGCGCGGTTTCGAAGCCGGATGCGAGGCAAAAGGGAGGACGATAAATGATCCGTTCGCGAAGAGGACCGTTGAAAATACGTAGGGGTTGTTGCTTACTCGACAAAATCCACTCGTGAGGAGCAAGACATGCAGCAGCAGCAGCAGCAGCAGCAGTAGCGTCTTGTGCGCGCGCAAGCAACAACCGCGACAAGTCCCGACCCCCCCCACGACGGTCGAGTGTCGCGAGCGCACCACCTACAAGCACACAAAAACAAGCTCGTCCCCCTTTGGCAACGTAGGAAGGAACGATTAGCCATCGGTGATCGGTCCTGTGGGACAAATGCTCCGTCCTCTCGAGGACGCGTGGCCTAAACGCTAAGGAAAATCGAAAGGGTACGCCCCCTCACCTCCTCCGAAACGACGTCGTAGCACCCCTTGATGGCCTCCCTGGCGTTCTCTGCGTAGCCCGAGGTGGCCTCCGCCGTCTGGCCGCACAGCATCGCACCAACCCCTATCCCGGCCCACAGGCACGCCACCCCCGCCGAAAGTCTCGCCCGCTGCGCCCGCTGCTTCAGGTCCCTCTCGCTCCCGCCTCCGTCCGCCCCAGCGGGAGTCCCGGCCGCAATGCCCAGCCCTCCCTGCAAAAAAGACGGCAACGATTCAAGCATTACAGCTACACACCGGCGAACGACTGATGATGCGGAAACGGACCTGAAAAACTGGAAGGTAAACCGTAAAGAGTGCTTCGTACACCGCTGTGATGGTCAGTGCAGCGCCTCAAGGGGGGTGACGCCGTACGTCGCTCGGACAGCTGTCACACGCCCCCCCCGCTGAGTGTCTACTTCGAGGTAGCTCGTTTGCGGCGCCCCCTTTCACCTCCTTCAGCCGGATGAGCTTGAGGCTTGGCTCTTCCCCAACGCCGCTACCGCTGCCGGTGCTCGTACCCCCCGCAGTGGAAGAGTCCGTGGAGGGAGAGTAGAAGGACTCGCCATCGACACTGGGCATGCCGAACTGGCCATAGCTCAGGACGTGGATCATCGCTCCCCGGATTTCGTCCTACGAAGGCGGGGGGGATACCCGCGGGTTGATCGTGTCGGGTAGGACGAAAAGAGCCAGGGAGGAAAACAAAGGGCGCGGTTTTTCAAAACAGCCTATTGAAACGTTTCACAACAGCCTACTGAAAAGTTTCGCGGGCGATGCCGCTGCATGGGGCCGCTGTCCGAAGCGCAACACGTGTTGCACCGAACACCACCACGAAAAAAAATCTGCTGCTGTTTGTTGTCGCTGCTGCTGCCGCCGCCGCCGCCATTGTTTGTTCCTTAAAAAGAAACAGCTATCCCTCGCCTGCACCTTGGAGGTCGAGAGGACTTGGTCGCACTCTTGCAAAATTCAGCCGGAAATTACCACCTAGTTCGCGTGTAAGCGACACCCTCATGTTCCCCAGAGCGAACAAACACGTCCACCCCGTCACATGTTCTTACTGTTACATCCACGGCTGAGAGTTCGGGATCAGTTAGCAATAAATGCACAGCATTTCTTTATTGTTCTCGTCCTTCCCCCCGGTGTTTGCCATCGGGATTGCGTTTTAGTCGCTTGGCAACGACGTTGTAAAACAAGCCAATTCACTTCGTGAACTCGGCAACCAGGTTA